CCATCGGCTACACCATGGGGGGCCGACACCAGTGCTGCAGAGTTCTTCCTTGTGAGTGCCTGCTCCTTTCTTACCGTCGTTCTGGTTGCTCCCCAGCCCCACTGTTGGCCTCCTCTGCCCACGCCGCTCTGCCAGGTGATTTTTTAGCCGACTCAAAAATCGTCTTTCTGGTTGCTCCCTAGCCCCACTGTGGGGGGTTCCTCTGCCCACGCCGCGCTGCCCTACTTTGACTCCATCAGCTACACCATGGGGGCAAGCGCTGCTGAGTTCTTCCTGGTGAGTGCTCCACTCCACTCCTCGCTGCCCCCTGCTCCGTACACCATATGCCTCTCCCTGCCATAACCCTATGGCCCTCGCTGTCTTCCACTCCTCCCTACTCCCTAACCGAACCGTGCGCCTGCCCGCTCTGCTCTGCTGTACTTTGACTCCATCGGCCATACCATGGGGGCCAATACCAGTGCTGCTGAGCTGAGCTCTTCCGCCAGAGTCCTCCTCTGCCCCTGAAGCAGCGGACGCGACCATCCTTTTCGGCTCCTCCACCAACCTCATCCGCCTCTGGGCCACCGGGGACGCTGCCAGGGAGATAGAGGGCAATATTCCTGATCCCTCGTCTCGCTCCCTCTCTCTGTTCCACTTTGCACCAAGCAGGACCTCACAGCTCCCAAGGCAGCGGACGCGTCCACCCATTTCAGCACGTCCATCCATTTCAGCGCGTCCACCCATTTCAGCGCGTCCACCAGCCTCATCCGCCTCTGTTTTTGAGAATTCTCAAAAACAAAACACGTCCACCAACCTCATCCGCCTCTGGGGCACGGGGGATGCTGCCAGGGAGATAGAGCACTGCTCTTACATCCCCCATTTCCTAATCCCCATTCCCAACCCTCTCCCCTTCACCAACAGGATCTGACAGCCCCCGAAGCAGCAGATGCGTCCATTCACTTTGGCACGTCCACCAACCTCATCCGTTTGTGGGCCACCGGCGATGCTGACCTTACATTCCCCTCCCCATTCCCAACCCTCTCCCCTTCACCAACAGGATCTGACAGCCCCCGAAGCAGCAGATGCGTCCATTCACTTTGGCACGTCCACCAACCTCATCCGTTTGTGGGCCACCGGCGATGCTGACCTTACATTCCCCTCCCCATTCCCAACCCTCTCCCCTTCACCAACAGGATCTGACAGCCCCCGAAGCAGCAGATGCGTCCATTCACTTTGGCACGTCCACCAACCTCATCCGTTTGTGGGCCACCGGCGATGCTGACCTTACATTCCCCTCCCCATTCCCAACCCTCTCCCCTTCACCAACAGGATCTGACAGCCCCGGAAGCAGCAGATGCGTCCATTCACTTTGGCACGTCCACCAACCTCATCCGTTTGTGGGCCACCGGCGATGCTGACCTTACATTCCCCTCCCATTCCCAACCCTCTCCCCTTCACCAACAGGATCTGACAGCCCCCGAAGCAGCAGATGCATCCATTCACTTTGGCACGTCCACCAACCTCATCCGTTTGTGGGCCACCGGCGATGCTGACCTTACATTCCCCTCCCCATTCCCAACCCTCTCCCCTTCACCAACAGGATCTGACAGCCCCGAAGCAGCAGATGCGTCCATTCACTTCGGCACGTCCACCAACCTCATCCGCCTCTGGGCCACCGGGGACGCTGCCAGGGAGATAGAGCGGGCTGCCATGCCCTCGACAGCTGCCACAGTGTCCCAGGCGTCTGCTAAAAGCGGGGAGGGGGGTGAGGGTCAGGGGAATGGGGATGTGGAGGTGGGGGAGGGAGTGGGGGAGGGTACTAGAGTGAGGGATGTCGATGCGAGTATGGACTGGAGGGGAGTGAGTGGGGGGGGGGGAGGGGAATCGGAGGTGGCGGACGAGGAGGAGGAGGGAGTGGGAAGAGGTGGGTAACGTCGTGGGGTTTGCAGTTTCGGGTGCTGGCGCAGCGGCACCTGCTGTCGTACCGGGTGGTGAATCAGGACTGGATATTTGTGGCTGTTGTGGCGGTCAGCCTGCTCGTTTGCACCTTATTGCCAGGTGAGGCATGCTGGCAGGTGAGACTGGTAGAGACCCTATGGCACGTGCGGTCGTACCGGGTGGTGAATCAGGACTGGATATTTGTGGCCGTCGTGGCGGTCAGCCTGCTCGTTTGCACCTTATTGCCAGGTGAGGCATGCTGGCAGGTGAGACTGGAAGAGACCCTAGGGCACCTGCTGTCGTACCGGGTGGTGAATCAGGACTGGATATTTGTGGCCGTCGTGGCGGTCAGCCTGCTCGTTTGCACCTTATTGCCAGGTGAGGCATGCTGGCAGGTGAGACTGGAAGAGACCCTAGGGCACCTGCTGTCGTACCGGGTGGTGAATCAGGACTGGATATTTGTGGCCGTCGTGGCGGTCAGCCTGCTCGTTTGCACCTTATTGCCAGGTGAGGCATGCTGGCAGGTGAGACTGGTAGAGACCCTAGGGCACCTGCTGTCGTACCGGGTGGTGAATCAGGACTGGATATTTGTGGCCGTCGTGGCGGTCAGCCTGCTCGTTTGCACCTTATTGCCAGGTGAGGCATGCTGGCAGGTGAGACTGGTAGAGACCCTAGGGCACGTGCGGTCGTACCGGGTGGTGAATCAGGACTGGATATTTGTGGCCGTCGTGGCGGTCAGCCTGCTCGTTTGCACCTTATTGCCAGGTGAGGCATGCTGGCAGGTGAGACTGGTAGAGACCCTAGGGCACCTGCTGTCGTACCGGGTGGTGAATCAGGACTGGATATTTGTGGCCGTCGTGGCGGTCAGCCTGCTCGTTTGCACCTTATTGCCAGGTGAGGCATGCTGGCAGGTGAGACTGGAAGAGACCCTAGGGCACCTGCTGTCGTACCGGGTGGTGAATCAGGACTGGATATTTGTGGCCGTCGTGGCGGTCAGCCTGCTCGTTTGCACCTTATTGCCAGGTGAGGCATGCTGGCAGGTGAGACTGGTAGAGACCCTAGGGCACGTGCGGTCGTACCGGGTGGTGAATCAGGACTGGATATTTGTGGCCGTCGTGGCGGTCAGCCTGCTCGTTTGCACCTTATTGCCAGGTGAGGCATGCTGGCAGGTGAGACTGGTAGAGACCCTAGGGCACGTGCGGTCGTACCGGGTGGTGAATCAGGACTGGATATTTGTGGCCGTCGTGGCGGTCAGCCTGCTCGTTTGCACCTTATTGCCAGGTGAGGCATGCTGGCAGGTGAGACTGGTAGAGACCCTAGGGCACGTGCTGTCGTACCGGGTGGTGAATCAGGACTGGATATTTGTGGCCGTCGTGGCGGTCAGCCTGCTCGTTTGCACCTTATTGCCAGGTGAGGCATGCTGGCAGGTGAGACTGGTAGAGACCCTAGGGCACCTGCTGTCGTACCGGGTGGTGAATCAGGACTGGATATTTGTGGCCGTCGTGGCGGTCAGCCTGCTCGTTTGCACCTTATTGCCAGGTGAGGCATGCTGGCAGGTGAGACTGGTAGAGACCCTAGGGCACCTGCTGTCGTACCGGGTGGTGAATCAGGACTGGATATTTGTGGCCGTCGTGGCGGTCAGCCTTTTCGTCTGCACCTTGCTGCCTGGTGAGGCATGCTGGCAGGTGAGAGTGGTTGACGCACTAAGGCGCAGCTGCAGCTGCGGTCGTACCGAGAGGTGAATCAAGCAGACTAGATGTTCAAGGATCATCCTCATCCTCCCCATCCCCCTCATCCCCCCATCCCCCTCATCCCCCCATCCCCCCATCCTCCCCATCCCCCTCATCCCCCCATCCCCCCCTCCCCCCATCCCCCTCATCCCCCCATCCCCCTCATCCCCCCATCCCCTCATCCCCCCATCCCCCCATCCCCCCATCCCCCTCATCCCCCCCATCCCCCCATCCCCCTATCCCCCCATCCCCCGATCCCCTCGTCCCCCCATCCCCCTCATCCCCCTCATCCCAGGCTGCCTGTGGTGCAAGCACGATCCAACCACAGCCATGTGCATTCGCGGCATGGCGGGGCTCATCTTCTTCTCACACTTCTTCTGGGGGATCATCCCCATGCTCACCTCCCTCTCTCATTCCCACCCTTCCAAGTTCCATCCGCCCTCCAACCGCTTGCCCCATGTCATCCCAGGTTGCCTCTGGTACAAGCGCGATCCAACCACAGCCGAGGGCATTCGCGATATGGCGGGGCTCATCTTCTTCTCACAGTTCTTCTGGGGGCTCATCCCCATGCTCACCTCCGTCATCACCTTCCTGGAGGACCGCAAGTCAGTCCAAAAAGAGCAAGAGGACGGAGTGTATCATATCTCCGCGTACTACGCCGCCCGGACGCTGCTCAGCCTGCCGTACGAGATCCTGCCGCCCGTCTTCTACAGCTGCATCGTCTATTGGATGACCGGGCTCAACCCGTCGGGCGGCCGGTTCGTCTTATTCACTTTAGTGCTTGTACTCGATACAATGGTGGCATCATCTATAGGCATGGCGGTGGGGACTGCGACGTCTACAGTGAAACAGGCGATTTCGATTGCGGCTATTCTGCAGCTGCTGTCGGTTATGGTGGTGCATTTCTTATCTCTCAATCCCCCGGCGTGGGTGGGGTGGACGCAGTACCTCTCTTTCTCAACCTATGTTAACAAGGTGGGTCGTCTCCCTTGTACCTCCTGCGTGCACACTTCCCCTGCGTGCACACTTGCTCATGCACGCTATCAACCACTCCCCCTCACGTGTGGGTGGGATGGACGCACTACCTCTCTTTCTCTCGGCTTGCATCAACAAGGTGGGTCTTCCTCCTGCACTCCATCACACACACTCTCCTCACTTTGAGGGTGGGACCAAGGACCACTTCACTACCACTCCTTCTCGACTTGCGTTGACAAGGTTTGCCTCCTCCCTCCTTTCTGTTCAGTGCTCACCTTGTAGGCATTCATATTTGCGACCTTCCCCCCTCCTATATGCGACCTTGCCTCATATGTTGTTCCACACTAGCATAGCATACATCGCCTTTCTCCTTCACCCCTCTCCTTCTCTTCACACCTACCCTTCTCCGGCCTGCCTACACCACCCCTGCACTCAACCACACTCACGCCCAACACCCTTCCCCCCTTCCCCCTCCCCCCCAATATCGAACACTCTCCTTTCCTCAGTTGCTAATGCGGATCAACTTTGATTCTGCCGAATCGTTCACTGGCAACTGTAGCGCTTCCAACACGAGCAGCAGCACCGCAGCCAACACGTGCTCGTGTGCCGCTACTCTTGAGCTATCGGGCCTGAGGAATCCGTTACCGGGGAGTGGGTGGCTGGAAGCGTGCATCCTCGTTGCCATGCTCATCTTCTTCCGCTTGCTTGCTCTGCTTATAGTGAAGCTCCGGTTGCAGTCGTGGCGGTGGCATCGCAATGGCCGCACTTGAGGATAGGAGGATATGTAGTTGCATGTCTATGGTATAAAGGCTATGCAACCAATCTATACAATCCACCGGTGTTCCTCTAAACAGCCAAGGCTTTGGGGCTTATTATAAAATGCAGCTATTATTGTGTTTGTGTAAGCACCTCATGAAATCTCGTTTTTAGCGTGAAGTAGCAAGCAATCGTTATATATAAACTTCATCAACGTTCATTGTCATACTCACCCTTACTGTAACGCGCTCTGGACAGTGCTGAAGTTTTGCAGTTTTCCCCACTTCCAATTCTCACCTACACCAGATGCCAGTCAAGAACAGACTTTGGTGCGCGTTTTCGGGCAGAAGGACCCACCTGCCGTGCCAAGGCAAATTGACCACTGGGCAGGATAATTGTCCAGCATAGTGCACATTTGATCTCCACAGTGCCAATTGCCACGTAATGTCGGTGGAACTGTACCTTCGCTGTTCTTCTGTCGGCGTTGCACTTGCTGCTTGTTTCAGAAGCTCATTTGACTGCAAACCGTCAGCATTCTCGCTCGCGAAGTCATAGTACCGGTCGCCGCTATTCCGCACGGTCAAAATTTCAAATCGCGACTGGCATCTCAGACGACGGACGTCGAATTTCCGTACCTTGTCGCTAGAAGCGTTACATATCTGCAGTGCCGTTAGTTTTCTCCTCAGGCAGTGCTGTTTGGCGTTTAGCCGTCTGCTTCCAGTCCACGCCAGCCTGGTAAGTCCTGCAACTGTTCACGTGGGACTGCGGCACTTGCGTGGTCGGTGCCCACCCGGACACTCCTTCCGCGCCCCCCACCAAAACCCAGCCCTGGGCAGCACGACTCCGCGTCGCAGGCTCTGGAGGGAACCGCGTTTTTTTCGTCTCCGTGTCGACGTGGCTCGATCTGTGCGGGTCATCTCTCCGCGTCGAATCTCGGCAATTCGTGTCATCTGGAAAAACCGAGTGAGGGAGGGAGTTAGACTCGGCTGCCCTCGCCAAATTCCCCTCACTCGCACCCAATCCCACTCCACCCTACCTCAACGCTCTCAACCTCCTCGATCGAAGCCGACGCAGCACCGAACTTCCACCGCTCCATTTATCTCCCGCTTTCTCGTCATTCTGTTTATCCAGATATAGCAATCAAGCGTCCATCCAAGACCGTCTTTCGACCAGACTAGTTTCTCCATCAACCAAGGATCGGCAGGGAGCGAGAGCAGCAAGCAGCAGCAACTTAAGTACTTTCAAAACGAGAGCACGGAACACATCAACTTGACTCGGACGACTCGAAATATGGCCACCATGGATTCCGTTCTTCTATCTTCAAACCCTCTCAAGCGCAAGGTCTCTAACGAGTCTTGCGTCGTCCCCTCACAAGCTGCTGCTCTCCCTCCCTGCCTTTCCTCTGACTCCACTTTCCTCTCCGGAGTCTTCTCCTCTTCCCCCTCCTCCTCCCCCGCCCTCTCCGCCGCCGTTGCCGCGTCTTCTCAAAACGAGCACCCGAACCAGCCCTCCGCCAAGCGCTACCGGGGCGTGCGGCAGCGCTCGTGGGGCAAGTGGGTGTGCGAGATCCGCGAGCCGCGCACGCGCGCGCGCGTGTGGCTGGGGTCCTACAGCTCTGCGGAGGAGGCCGCGCGAGTCTACGACACCGCCGCGCTCATGCTGCACGGCGCGCACGGCGCGGAGCGCCGCCTCAACTTCCCGCACACGGCGGCGACCGCCGTCGGCGGCGGCATCCACATGCGCCCCGTCGTGGTCTCCCGCGCGACCGCGGAGTCTCTGCTGCGCGCAGCGCGCAACCTCGCGGCGGCGGCGAACGGCGCATCTACCGCGGAGCTCGCGGGCGCGGACGCGGAAGTGAAGACGTTCAGCAGCGAGTGGGTGCAGCTGGAGATCGCGGGCGCTAACGTGCTCTTCGCCGAATGCCCCGCGCCCGGGCTCCTTCCCCTCGCTCCCTCCGTCGCGCCAGCTGTCCCCACCCCCGCTCCCGCTCCCGCTCCCGTTCCCGCTCCCGTTTCCGCTCCTGCTCGCGCACCTGCGGCGCCGATCGCGCCTGTCTCCTCTCCCTCTCCCCTCTCCTCTGTCCCCACTCTCTCCGCTGGCGACGACCTCCTCGTCGCATCATGCGACAACGTCGCCAGTGACAACGGCGGCGACAGCTGTGCAATTCTGGAGCTCCCAGAGCTCGACTGGCCGGAGATGGAGAAGTGCCCGTCGGCCGACGATTCGGCTCTCTTCGACGAGATCGAGAAGTCCGACTCGGCGCGCTTCGACGACGCCTTTAATCTCTCCGATGAGGAGCTCTTCGGCCTCTCCTCATCATCCGCTTCGGTATCCGCCTCCCCCTCCCACGACTCCGCCTTCGCCTGCGATTCCGGTTCCGCCGCTGCGCTCGAGAGCGCCTTCCCGTTCTTCCCCCTAGAGGACGAGGGGATTCAGTTCGTGCCGTCGCCACCAACGTTCCCACCCGTGTTCCCCGCGCCCGCTGCTCCCGCCGTGCCCGCCGCCGCGTCAGCCGCCGCGGAGTTTCTGGCGGCGCCGCCGTCGCCGTTGTCGTCGTACGGCAGCGTGTCGCGCTCCGTCTCCGCCTGCCACGTCACGCCCAGCGCTTCGGCCAGCGAATCTGGCTGCGCCGCCGCTGGCACGACCTCCGACGCTGTCTCCGCCGGCTCCGCGGACTCCGCGGGTTCCGCGGGTTCCTTGGAGAACGCGCAGCAGCGCGCGGATATGCTGGTATCGCTGGTGCGCGAGCTGTCGACCATCACCGCGGTCCTGCAGCACCTGCAGAAGGAGCACCAGCTGCGCCTCATGCTGCAGCAGCAGCAGCAGTAAAGAGGAGCAGCAGCAGCAGCAGCCCGAATCCTGCTTAGCTTATGACGCCCAATCCTTCCGTGGCTGTCTGCTGCTTTTGCTTACCTCCTCACTCACCGCGCCTCTCCTCTCTGCACTCTCAACCTCCCGAGTCCTCTCATGACTCAGCAGCCAATCGAGTCAGCAGCAATCACCTCGAGTACCCCTCATGCGCTTCCGACCCTTCCCTCGATTCCCCTCCTTCCCTCTGATCCTCTCCCTGAATCCGAATCACATATCCTTCCCCGTTCTCAACCTAATCCGAATCACATGTCACATATCCGAATCCGCCTAGTCCTCGGCCTCCCTCCTTCCCTCCTGGTTCGTCTACAGTCGGTGTAGACAGCCATCCTGAAGGTAGTCTTTGTCGGGGGAGTTGACTCTGAAGTCTGCTCTTTCACCCTCCGCCCAAGCCTCACCTCAGACCCCCTCGTCCCTCATCTCCCTCCTGAACCGGCTACACTCGGGAAGCCAGCCATCATGAAGGCCCTAAGCACCGTTTTTAAGTGTGCCCAACAGTGCCCTCATGATGATTGTCTTTCTTCCGAAAGCCACTGCACCCTACCTCCTGTGAAGATCCCGCCTTTCCTCAAAGGCCTCAATTTGTTCATGTCTCTCCTCGGAGGTATCTGTCCGTTGGATTCAAGAGCTCAGTTCTAGGTTCCCTCTTGCTTGTTCTCGATACTGTTTTGGGATTTGCGTGTGTGAGTTCTGAAAGTTCAGCCTGTAGTATGAGTAAAACACAAATCAATAATGCCTTTTAGTGTAAGTGCTGTCTTTAAAGCGAGAAGTTAAAATAGTGAAGGCCGTTCTTGTTAACGTAGAAACGAATATTACTAGAGGTGGAAACCTAGAACAAATACTAGTTGGTTGTACTCACTAGAAGCATACCTCAGTCTAGCCTATAACTTCTACATAGATAATATGTATAAGTTGACACACCCCCTAGGCTAGACAAGGGGTGAAACTAAACAAGAAGCAAACAGCTCAGGGCGGCACTACTAGTCCAACCACTGAGGCAGGGGTCTGGAGACCAGTCAGCAAGAATACAACCAAAACTGAAGCAAGCCAGGGTGGCACTACTAGTCCAGCCACTGGAGGTAAGGCCACAAGGCCAGTCTGACAAGCATATATAATAGAGAGTACACAATCAGGATCCTAACAGGGGAGCAGCTACAGGAACAAGACCAAGCTGTACACAGTGCCGCTGATGATCTTTAGGCGCAAGCGCCTTAGTAAAGATATCAGCTGTGTTGGCACCTGAGGCCAAGTGAACTACGCGGGCCTGGCGGCGCTGCTGTAGCTCGCGCAGGAGGAAGTACCGCAGCTGGATATGCTTCGCTCTGCCCTCAAGCCGAGGCTCCTGACACAGGAGTATCATGGCCCTGTTGTCAGCGTACAGGACCGGGGCAGAGCTAGGCCGCTCACCTAAGTCTGTGAGCAAGAAGGTCAGCCAGCGGAGCTCCTGTGCCGCCATGGCACCAGCGTAGATCTCAGCCTCACAGCTAGACTGAGCCACAGACGACGAGCGAGTGGATCTCCAAGAGATAGCACCCGAACCAAGGCTGAAACAGTAGCCCTGCGACGACCTGAGCGTCTCAGCGTCGTCTGCCCAAGAAGCGTCTGTGTGCCCAGTAAGGACCACTGGCCTGCGTCCTCCTAGCACTAACCCCATGCCTGATGTACTAGCAAGATAACGCAAAACCCTCTTAGCGGCAGACCAGTGCTGAGGTCGGTGTCTGCCTGTAGCCACAAAGCGAGCCAGGATGCTGAGAGGGTATGCGAGATCTGGGCGAGTGCAAGTCATCAGGTACATGAGGCAACCCACCAGCTCTGCGTAGGGGCCACTGGGCTCTACTGGCTCCTCAGGAACGGGAGCAGAGAGCCCATGGTCTACGGGTAGAGGTGTGGGCTGTGCAGAGGAGAACTGAAGACCGAACCTCTGAAGGACCTGACGCACCAAGTGTGACTGGGTCAGAGTGATGGTGCGTGCTGCTCTGTCCCTAGAGATCTGCAGGCCAAGATAGCGACGCAGCTCTCCAAGGTCAGTGCAGGTGTGTCTCTTCAGCAGCTCAGCCTTCACAGAGGCCAGTGCGTCCCTGTCAGGAGTAGCGAAGACCAGGTCGTCTACGTAGACAAGGATGTAGAACGGAGTCTGGCCGGAACGCACAAACAGTGAAGGGTCAGCAGAGGACGGAAAGAACTGCAGGTCTGCTAACGTGGCACGTAGCGTGTCGTGCCACTCGCGGGGAGCCTGACGCAGGCCGTAGACCGGGCGCCTGAGAAGCCA